TCATCCATTTCATAATTTGACTTTTCACTGTGATAATTAGTATTTTACAACTTTACACCTGCCACGTGGAAGCTCAGTGTATCCACATTTTTCCCAACTACCAAAGTGCTTGACTTTAAGCTATGGTAGGTATCAGGGGAACAGGAGGGATTAATAAGATCTTGATTAGAAATGAACAATGATTTTGTTATTGCAAAGTCAAATATTTAATGTTAGGGTGTTTATCACTTGTCAAAATAGATCTGTGGAATAATCATTGCAGCACTTATTGTGTGTAAGTGTTTTATCCCACTTACTCTCAAGGAGAGGCAGGTATTATACCTGTTTCTGAGGTTTGTGTCCAAGGTTATTCCTATGTAAAATTCACCAAATATGCTTCTTTCTAAGCATTTAAAATAAGGTATTTTGTTTAAGTAAATGCCAAAGTTGGTGAGTCTTGATGTTAAAAGTTATAAACTGGTACAAACTACATGTTGTAAGGAGCAAAAACTGAAGTAGAAATTCTTGTTCTCATTTAGTATTGTTTATATCAAAAATCTAGGAGCAAACAGGACTTGTTAAATGTTTGCTAAAGCAAGTGGGAGAAAGTGATTCAAGCTGTAAACACAAAATGTTGGGGGAAAAGATGGAAATAGTATTAAAGTATTGGGTTTGCTCTTGGGTCATTTTTTTATCAGTGTCACATAAGCACTCCTCTTACCATTGCCTGTAGATAGTTTTAACCCATAACTTGCTTAAACTCCTGTTGGTCATAGTATTTGCTTTGTGATGTATATATTTGCAAAGAAATCAATTGAGAGAATGATGCTGCCTTTTCTTAAGAGGTGAGCCAAATCAGAAATCCTTACTACTATCCCACATTATTATAATAAATGATTGTTTGTTGAATTTGTATGGCTCTTGCAGCAATACATGAGCAAACCCTCGTGTAAATGGGAAATAAAACCAGTAAGTCCTTGTCACTTTCAACAGCACCAACCTTACCCATCTTGACAACTTAGAAGAAATGAATAGACTAAGGTAAATGGCTGAATGTGCAGCTGCATTCAGCAGTCCTTTCGGCCTGGCAGGTTCCACTGTATGCTGAGCTTTGGAAGGGGACCTGTAAAAATAAGCTCTAGTTGTTTGTGGACCTTTATGAGTATTGGTGGGTAAGTGATGCTAATTACATAATAATTATAGGAGTCACTTTAATGCCATGGAATCAGACGTCCCTCTGCACTTGTTTTTCTGTCAGTGACCCCATTGTTTTCTAGCACTAAGTAGAATTACGACCTAAAATTTTCAAGAGTACACCTGAAATAACCTTCAGTTGGTTCACCTGGTTCTGTCCCTTATCTCATTTGGACCGAGTGCATCGTTTCTCAAATGTTTCAAGTATTTTTGAGTGGTAAAAGAACTATACTCATGAAGGCTGTAGAGATTTTGACACACTACACTCTTCCCAAATTTCCTTTTCCAGATTAAAATTTGACCTCTACCTATTAGATACTAGTATGTATAATAATACATACTTTTATATAATACATATATAGTATGTACCTTTAATATTGCATGTCATAGATTGTTACAAGGCCCTCATGCTGGGTGGGATTCAGACAGGTGAACTGGCAAATACAAAATTTGAATATTCTGAGTTGAATTTCATTTTGCTTCAAGCTCCACAAGAAACATTTGAAAATAGAATCCCACCTTCTGTGTCACTTTATTTACATTTTTATTTTTACTGCCTTTTAGGTTCTCAAGGAGTCGCACCTGGTCCTGTAATTGGGCTCCAAGCACCATCCACTGGCCTCCTTGGTGCCCGACCTGGCCTGATCCCACTCCAGCGCCCGCCGGGAATGCCTCCACCTCACTTACAGCGATTTCCTTTGATGCCACCCCGTCCCATGCCACCTCATATGATGCACAGAGGCCCACCACCAGGCCCAGGGGGTTTTGGAATGCCTCCACCTCATGGAATGAAAGGTCCCTTTCCACCTCATGGCCCCTTCGTTAGGCCTGGTGGAATGCCAGGGCTCGGGGGCCCGGGGCCAGGCCCCGGGGGTTCCGAGGACAGAGACGGAAGGCAGCCGCCAGCACAGCAGCAGCCGCCGGCACCACAGCAGCCTCAGCAGCCGCCTCCAGCTCAGCAGCCGCCTCCAGCTCAGCAGCAGCCGCAGCCGTTTAGAAACGATAACAGGCAGCAGTTCAGTTCAGGGAGAGACCAGGAAAGGTTTGGAAGAAGATCTTTCGGAAATAGGGTGGAGAATGACCGGGAACGGTATGGGAACCGGAATGATGAGAGAGAGAATAGTAACCGTGAAAGGAGAGAGTGGGGAAGGAGGAGCCCCGACCGGCACAGAGACTTGGAAGAGAGAAGTAGACGCTCTAGTGGGCATCGAGACAGAGAGAGAGATTCGAGAGATAGAGAGTCTCGTAGAGAGAAGGAAGAAAACCGAGGAAAGGAAAAGCCTGAGGTGACAGACAGGGCAGGTGGTAACAAAACCACTGAACCTCCCGTTAGCCAAGTGGGGAACGTAGACACCGCCTCAGAACTTGATAAGGGGGAGTCTGAGTCCGCAGTTGTAAAACCTGAAGAGTTACCTGCTGAGGCTACCTCATCCGTTGAACCCGAGAAGGATTCTGGCTCAGCAGCAGAGGCTCCTCGTTAAGAGACTGGAACTTGTCAAAATGTGACAGGGACACTTCCGGAGTGCAGAGCTTGAGGTGTACAGATGCTGTATTATATTCGCTCCTATTATTTCACTGCCCCACAGTAGTTGGTGGGGAATTGTAAGCAATTTGATTGCTTCCCTTCTATTTAAAAATAGCCACAAAATAACAAAAAATACTGAAATATGAATAAATATTACCCTTTTTGCTGTAACTTTTTAAAAGTTTTGACTTTAAAAAGTTTACAAGTCGTAATTAGAAGTGCTATTTTTTTTTTTAATTTAAGACAAGGTAACGGTGAAAGCTCCTCAAAACAATAGGGATGTTTTTAATAAACTCTATTTTCATAACAAACTTTAATGTGTGCTATTCTTCCTACACTGCATTAAGGTAGAGAAGGATTGTTCATCAAAGTTTGAGCTGTTAATACTGTACTGGAGTCTAAATTAGACTTGTTTACTTGATGGAAATAAGATGTAATCAAATACTTCCATTTGGAGTACTCTTGATTTTTAGCATTTCAATCATAAGGTAAAAGGTCAGTGGTTTTAATGTTAATTGAAAAGCTTGTTTTGCAATTCAAGATTTTCCTTTTTGCCATTGGTTTTGTGGTAAATATTGCCGATTAATTGGTAGAGATTTTGCTAAGGGAAAAATTGGATCCCAGCGTTACCTGTTGTAGTATAAACTTATCTGATTGCTGAGGCATTACTTGTTTGGTAGGTTGTTTTCTTACCAATCACATTAAATTTTTCAAAAGGGTGAAAGAAATCAAGGCTAGTAACATTTGCAGCCTAAAGTCTGTCTTACTTTATATGTTTAAGGTCTGAAACGTGGCCTGTTGTTCCCAATCAGCTTTATCTGTTACCTTTACCATTTTTTACCATTGCTGGGCAGAGGTAGACTAAACTTCTTGCCACATATATTTTATCTTTTACTTAAAATTGTTGGGTTAACTAGGAAAAATAGTTGTAGGTTATCCAAGAACTGTTACACGGAGACATCCAAAATCAAATCAGACCTGTTTCTGACATCAGAAAAGCGTTACATAAAACCGTTTTACCCAGTGTGCTGAGGAAAACCTGTCATACAACCTGAGTATTTACTGGCTTGTTGAAGCTTTCCTTAAATTACATTTTTTCAACTGTTCTGGTTTCAGTGTGCTGAGCAGTTACCTTTTTATTTGCCCTCATTCTCCAAAGAAAGCTACTCTGTCAGTTTTATTTTTAAAAGTCTCTTGACAGGGATAGTGTTTCCAGGGCAATGTTGTGTTCCTTGCAATATTTCCAATTGCAAGTATTGAGTCCACCCTATTTGTGCGTGACAGAAAACCCAATAGTAAGTGGTAGGATTGGGCTATGAAGGTCAAAAGCAAGTCCATGTATTTTGAGTTTTATCCCACAATTGTTAACAGATTGTGTGCATAAGAGAAATGTTAAAATACTGTTCTTAATGTTTCTACCTGACAGTGGTTTTAACCACTTACTATGAGCATATTGTTCATTATCACCAATTTTAAAACTGAACACACAATTGTTTTATTCCACATTGGCTTTCTCTCCTAAGTCATCTACATTTGGTAAAGTACACCACATATTTATGATCACTCAGAATTATAGCTTATTTCTAGTTTCTCTATCAGAAATAAATGTTTACTATTTTCCATCAGTAAGCAACTAACCCACATGGTCAGCCCTGAGTTAGATGAACATACTTAGAAGCATTCTCTTATAGGTATGTTAAGTATTTACAATAAGAGAAAACAGACAATTGGGTGTATATATTTAGCCAGAACCACATTTAAGTATTTCCTCGGTCCTACCTTATAATGCTACAGTATATTTCTTTAAAGGGCTAATCTGAAAGCAGATTGTGCCAACCTCTCCTTTTTCATTATAAATGTTCACAAGTCTACAAAAGTGGAGTATGCACCATTTTGGCAAGCAGGTAACTCTTATTATTAGTTAAATGAGACTATAATTTGCTATTCACAATTCACTGAAAGTTATCAGAAGGTTCTCTTGAGCTGTAATACCTACTTTTAAAAATAAGTAATTTTTACATCAAATGGTAAGTGGCTAAGCAGAGAAACCACCTTAATTTCCCTAAAGCTTACAAAACATTATCTTGCCCAGGATTAAAGTTAAGGTTAGCTGTAGCTAAAAAAACGAGCTGCTGAAAATTATTTTGATTATCTCATCACACTTTCAAAGAGAGCTCTATAAAATAGTTAATACCCATCAATGTATTACCAACACTTCCATTCAAGCTCTCTATACAAGTATCAGAACTCATTTAGAATTTCAATTTGGATACTCTTAACAGGCTTATTAACAGGCTCAAAATATAGTGCCATATAAGGTGTATTTATTGCAGGCTTGAATAAGAACAAAGAGGTTCAGACAATTAAGTTTAATACCCATACGTGAATTAAGTGGCAAACTACAGAGATCACTTAAACACATTTTAACTGAATGAGTTTTTATAAAATTATACAAATCTTCCAAATGATAAACCAGTTCTCATTACAGGTACTTAAAGCAATATTTAAAAAGTCAAGCAAATTACACTTTTAAGATTACAATGTTCAATGTTTATCAAGTTAAATTTCTACAACTAGCAAAATAACATGAGTAAGTAGGATTCAGATCACAGCCTAGGTAATGTTTACATGGCGATCCCAATTACACCACAAGCCAAACGACTTCCAGCGTTTCCCGTTTTTGTACTCTCTTCATTTCCACCTCTGCCCAAGTCATCTTGCTTTTCATGGACCTTTAAAAAATTTTAAGAACATTTAACTTAGCACTATCTGTAATTACCACCTCTTTAATACCCAAAACACTTAAGAACCATTTAATATTAGAAAATAACATGTCAAAATAACACTAGTAGGGAAATATTCTTAATATTTAATCTAGTAGTAAAAATAGAAACCACTACTGAAAGCTTTTTCTTGAAGATGCAAAGACATGACTTATAAACCCTATGTGAGTGTTGCTATTGCTAAATAAAACTAAAAACCCAAATAGCTATGTTAGAGGCTACCACACTGCTACTGGTCTTAATCCTCCATGAGGAATTTCAGTAACCTCGGTTATAGCAGTGGTCTTTACAATGCACACATCAAAGTGAACCAAAAACTGTCAGAATTATGTCTAATGAACTTTATAAACCTATAAATAAGAGGTAATCCTAAAAATATATTCAAACAGTATTTTAGATTTTGCTCAAGAAACACTGATCAAAGATTTTTCTGCTTCACAACTATGCTAAGGATAAAAGGTTAGCTGAGAGTAAGCGACCACTGAATGTTAACTGTCCTCTGGGGTAGGCGTAAGCCTATACTACATGGTGTTTTGCATGAACTAGAAGCCACTCCCATGAGTAACCTGGGGCAACTGCTTCCATCACATTAAGCAAGTGATACCCTACAGATATGAATGAATACTGGGGTCCATCCCAGATTTCAGACTTAGCTAAATAAAGACTACTTTTGTTTCCACAATGCAGAGCTAATATGAGCGAATACAATCTGCTTTATTACTACTGCATCTTAGCAGAAGTGTTCTGAACTGCCCTAGATCACTAATTTATCTTCACTGTATTCCAGGAAAATAAGTGTTTTTCCAATCTGAACTAAAGGTACAATTTATGTGGATTCTCAAAAACCAGGATTAATAATTCTGTAATAGATAAAAAATAAATGTTGGGAGAACTTTTATGCACATTTGTATTACATGAAAACTTACCACCATTGTGCGGCCAATGACGGAATGTTCTCCTGAGAGGGCAATCATAGGATCTTCCATAGACACAACAGCCACACCATCTTTGCCAGCAGTCACATTGCCCAGGTCTCCAACATGCCTTAACATTGAAAAAGCATCAGAGGAATTAGGATTGGTTGCTACTTAACATCAGCTAAATTAAAAACTGACTGACATACAAAAGCTAAGGGGTAGATACAGCATATATCAAATAGGCCCCCTTTACCAAAATTTTGGAAACATACAAATTTAAAAATAATTAGACACCCTAGACACATTGCTCTTCAAACAAGCTTCAGGTCTACAAAGTAACGCTCTGGGAAGAATCGTGTGATGGGGACAAATCTTGAATTTCAGAGGCAAAGTACCAAAGGGAAAACTCAGTTACTGAGTTATGCCTATTAAGTTTTGGCCTAAGAAAGCTATGCCCACAGGTCTCTGTTACAAAAATTAATTAGTTCTTACCCTTAAATGTAGTACTTTTTTCCTTCAAGGCTCTCAGAAAACACACACATACAAAGAGACCCACCCAATTTTCAAATTTTTACCTATGAAGCTTGCTATGTTTCACCATGATGGTTTATTTTGCTGGCAGCTGACAGTACTGTTATCATGACATTTCCTGTATTAGTTCCCTTTGGCACTTGTATTAGCTCTATATTCAATAAATGCTACAAAACCAAATTGTTTTAAGTGTCCCCATTTATCACCGGCTCCTCAGCTCAGGGAGTAAGCCACTCCAGCACTTGGGGCAGGAGGTTTACACAGGGTTGGGGTTGCAGGGTGGTAAATTCAAAGCAGAGGTGGGGGAGACCATTCAATTATCTCAGCATGCAATTTGCAAACAGCATACCCTTACAGCCACAGAAAGTCATCACCATTATTTCAGTAAGACAAGCATTTTGTCACTCACCTCTCTTGATCCTTTGGCCCACCATGTTTTTTGGACAGAGGATTAAAATGAGGACCTGCACTGGTACAGCCTATTTGCAAAAAAAAAAAAAAAAAGCTAAATCATGAATCGAAATTCCAAAATAAATTCTAAGAAGAAACTGGTCATTGCTGAAACCTTAAATGGAGAAGGTACTGAACTATATCATGACTCTAGGTTAATAAAAACAGGAAGCAGCACCTTATGATAAACAAAATAGGCAGGGGTGGGCTTTGGGTTCTTCACTGCCCTATAAATTAAGAGGGCCAAAGCTTGACTTTCAATAGCTCTTGTATTGTGAAAATCCCATTACAATGAAGCCAGTTGGTAAGGTAGCACATCTTAACTACAAAACACTACCTTCCCAACTACACACCAATCAAGTGTCCCATTTGTGTCCTTTGCTTGATGCATGCAGAATATATGCTGTAAAAATGGCCTTCCTGTGCTCGAGGGAAAGCACTTTCCCAGAACACAACCAGAAGGATGCAGGCTTGTTTCTTTTCTTCCTTCAGCAGCTGATGTAAAGTTTCCATTGTTTACAGCTTCTTCCCAGCCATCCCCAGAACCCCAACAAGGGAGAAGACACACAGGTTATGGGAGTAAGTCAAAGCCACCAAGCAGTGGCCTCCCAAAGCGAAGGCAGTCGACCAAGAGCAACTTGTGGTATCTTAGTAATTATTGAAATGGATCTAAGCTGGTCATTAAGTCACTATAGGAATCAAATTATGGGCCACTAAAACCAAATTCCAGCAAAATGAATCAAGTTCTCATAAAAAGTGTTAATACCTAAATTCAGATTACACAAATACAGCAAAAGATCACTAGATGTAATTTAATCCATCAACTTTTATTAACTTGCTTCTAATCCCACATTGAATAAATGAAGCTCAATCCAAAGCACCAACAGTTCACCTATCTTCAGTTCGTATCTTACTCCCTGTCCCACTGAGGATCTTGTTTCAGGTGTGAAGCTCTCCTGACAGGGCAATGCAAATAAATGCAGACTCTGAAGCACCCATGCACAACCCCAGCTCACAAACAAGTGGGATCACTATGGGGAGTAAGAAAGCGGCTAAACTTTTTGTTTTCTATTGTTTTCTTAAAAAAAAAACAAAAAAAACACAGGAGATCTTATGTAAGCAAAGTATAAATGTGATAAACATCAACTTCCTCCCCTTCAACACTTAGGTGTCAAAAATCATTCCGTGGCTCAACTCCCTAACAATGACCCTAGTAGTCACATTAACTTCTTTTTTTGTTTTAAATGTTGAGGGTTTTAACGTTTAGGGTTAACTCTACTCAGTCCTACTGATCCTACTAAGTGAAACAAGTATGAGTCACTAGACCCACGCAACCCACCTTGTGTATTATCTCCAAATTGATGGACGTGGAATCCATGATCGCCCTCAGTCAATCCTTTAATGGTTCCTGATACCATGACTGGCCCATCTCCCTTTATTCAAAGAAAAGTGCAAGACGTTTGAGAAAGCAAATGTTTCTGAACACAGAAAAGAGTTGAATTACCTTCACTACTCAGTGAAGTGGAAAGAACAGGGGCTTAGGAACCAAAATATCTGTGTGCACATCCCAGGCCCACCACTTCTAGTGGTGAATTCCAGCAAGAGGCTTAACTGCTCCAGGCCTGTGTCCCAATGCAAGGGAGATGGTGACCTTGTTCTAACACTCACAGGCCAGCAGCTCTGCAGCACAGCATCACAACCAAATGGAAAGCACAGAGAAAGTGCCCCGCAGAGGGGCTGGCAGTGCGCTCTTGAATGTGGATTTGTACTTTGTAGGGTTTGCCTGCCTTAGAATGAGTATGTAACATGAGTTAAGTTCTCATTCACTTTGTACATACTTTTAACAGGTTATCTTTGCATACTGTGTATATAAAAAAAAACTTCTTAATCCAATTGTTAGTACATCATACACTTTTTAGCACCTCATTTTCTTCATGCAGACACTCTTCCACAGAGCAAACAGATTTGCTTTTTAAAAGAAAAATAAAAAGGTACTCTGGAAATGCCCATCTGACTACTCTAGGATCCCTGTTCTCCACTCTCCACTAGTGGGGGTAAGGGAGGTGTTTATCAATTTCCAGCATAGATATTTTTTATTAATAGCCAGAAAATATCCTATTCCACTGCCCCTGAGAGACTGATCTTAGTTTGACCAAAGGTACTGTTTTCTGAAGTCTTTTCAGGCATTGAAACCTGGGTAACCTTTCCACTCTCAACTACTGAGACCAAAATACAAAGGACCATAAAAACAGTAAAACAGGTGAAAAAAACCACTGAAGTACTGCCATTCAGGTCATGGTGATGGGTAGTAATACCGCAGGGCTACCTACACAAAGCAGGAAATTACTCATACAGCTAGAGACCTTAGGAACTAAAATAAAATACCTGCACCTCCACTCCACAATAACACACATGATGGTGTGTTTGTTTTAGCTTTATTTTTTTTTTAAGTAGAGCCAACAGTTAAAAACGGTGTTAGCCTTGAAGACTCTCCACTGGATAAATACCACTGCTTGAAGGAAGCAGTGTGGCAACCATTGCCTTTCTCTGCTTTTCTTGAGAATAGGTATTTTGTGTATTTGTAAAGCACAATACTTTGGAAAACCTTAAATGTGAATTTTATCTTCCAAAACACGCTGCTTGTCTTTCAAGAGCACAGAGAGACCAAGAGGGTAGGTTTTTCCAGGCCTCCTTTCAGCAGGTAACGTATAGTACAGTCAACGTAATTATCTGCCTGGGTACAACGAATCCTCCAGGGGCCAAGCTGTTAATGTTAAGTAAAACAGGTGAGGGAAACAAAGAGTATGACTGGTCCAGCCTCTTGCTGCCCTTACTAACAAAGAGCTCGGTATGGGCAGACCTACTATTTCTCAATAGAAGCTAGGAATTTGAACTCAATTGGGCTTAAAGGTAAATTTTCCAATTTTTTGAAGATGAGAAAGGAATCCAAAATTAGAAACACTTAATAGGCCAAACACAGTTTACTGCCAATTTAATACATCTGCATATCTGCAGAGCTACAATGTAACTATCCAAGAGTCTTTTATCAGGTATAAACAGCACCACCATAATGAAGTTTGGAACTTAAGAGGGAGTGGCACCTTAAAAGTTGTTCAGGTAAGGTGAACAACGTGGCCCTGGAATGGGCCCATGGACCCAATTCTCAATAGCTACAGGAAAGGAGGAAAAAACAAAGTCCGACCAATGAAAACAAGAAAATTCAGTCAAATGCCAGAGCCCTGTCAAGACAATTTGGAAACCACTTACAGGAAAATTCCCTCACATAAACTTCACAAATGGGACACCACCTAGATTATTTTTCCTGCCCTCTCACATTTCTGTACACCACTTTAAAGATTATAGTTCATTCTTATGTTAAACACTCTCTTACAGTTATTAAGCCAAGTACAACATAAACAATCTTTCATCAACTTGTAACCTTACTAAGGTTTCAGGGGATAGTCTTATCACAACGACCTTCCTTGCAACACATGTGCTTTGCAATATTAACAATGAGTATTTCTATATACTTTATTTTACAAGAATTGTTCAGAACGTTGACCATGTCAGTGTTGGGCCCTATCAGGAGAGCAATTTCAAAGTCGCTTTACAGAAAACGTGGTTAAAGGAATGCCCCAAGAGGAGAGGTAAGTGACAATTCCAAGCAATGCAAACTCTAGCTCTACCATCCCACTCCCAAACCCCATCCATTACCCGCTACGAACACAGTTCTCAATCTTAGGCGCACATCAGACTGTGTACCCAGAAATTTTTATGTAATTGGTTTGGAGTTGGGCCCTAGTATACGTATTTCTTATAAGCTCCCACATGAGTCTACTGTGCACTAGGGGTTAAAGACAACTGCCCTGGAAAACCCTCTGACCTCGGCTTTTTTGGAGCTCAGTGGACTATCTGCTTTGCCCTCACAGCCTGACCATGACCTACAGCATGAGTCAGCAAAGTCTCCCTATTTAAAAGGACCACTTAAAGGTATGTTATGTAAAAAGCAACAACGAAGAGAACAGCCTTGAAAATTCTCTGACAAAACCAGCTTGGCCTTAAAAGCAAAGCTTAATTTACCTTATTTTGCAAGACTAACTCAACCTGGGTCATTTCTTGTTTATGCCTCTGGAAAGCATAAGCAAAACTTAAAACTATTCCCAAGGCTGGTATTCGGTGACCATTAACCAATTCATCACAGTTTAAATAAGAAATTTGTAATATTCTAGCTAATCAACTGTAAATGAAGAGTCACTGCGGCGTCACTATATAAGCTGCTTTGTTACACCATATACCTGATCCTCAATCCACGTTTTGGTTTCAGGGATCCCAGTAAAGGTGTGCAAAGTGTCCTCTGGTATGTACACAGTAAACTTCTACTAATTAATACTTGGTGATTCACTGGTTCTAATATTTCTGACTTTTGACAGATGTGTAATTTTTGTTTTTCAGGACCCTTCAAGCATATAAAAATCCCTTAGCCCAGGGCTGTACCGAAAACGGCTCGGGTGCATTTGCCTCACTGCGGCAGTCTGCAGACCCCAGACGCAGAGAAACAGCGCCCCAGGGTTTTAACGGAATCGACGATACTCGACCCGCCGCCCTCGCCACCCACGGATCCCAAAGGCAGGCCGCGCTGCGCAACTCTGAGGACCAGAGCCTCAGGACCAGAAATGACCCGCAAGAAGGGCCACCGTAGCCTCTCCAAAAGCGTCAGGTCTCGCCCGGGCCTACACGCCCTGGCGGCGGGAAGGCCTGAGGGGGGCGACTTCCTCGCTCGCTCTTTTCCCGCCGGGCCCGCCGATGCTCCCGCGTAGCACCCGCTCCAGGCCTCGCCACGCACCGCCGCCTGCGCCGAACCCGCCCGGTGACTCAGCACTTCGCGGCTGGGCGCGCAGGCAGACGCCGCACGGCCCAGGCCTCGGGCGGCGCGAACCTGCCGGGCGGTGAGGCAGGGGCGTGGAGGGTGCGGCCGAGGCTCGGCGGGCCGCACGCTGCGGGGCACAGGTGCGCGAGCGCCGCCCGGCCGCCGGCCTCCGCCCCAGCCCTTGCCTTCTGCACGAAGTGGATGACGCCCTCCACATCGCCTTGGCCCTTCAGCACGCACACGGCCTTCTTCTCCATGACTGGCGGAGCCGTGCTCCGGTGCAGGACACACGAACTCCACCGTAGCAGGACACAACGCAGAAGACGCGGAGAACGGCGCGGTGGGCCTTTTATATCCGGAACTCGCGCCCCGCCCACCCTGTCCCGGAACCAATAGCCTCCCGCGCGCTCGGCCACTGGCTCGGGACGCCACTGGCCAAGAGTGACCGGGGGCGGGGTCAAGGGGTCGCGTGGGGATCTTCCCCACCGCGCCGCGGGCGCGCTCAGCTCACAGCTGTAAAACGCCTGGAAACCTGGAAATGCGGAAAAATCAGCCTTTCTGTGTCCACCCGTAAATTGCAGTACGCGAAACAGGAAAAATGAGGTATACGTGGCACGCCTTGACTATCTGAAGTCACTTGGGCTGAAAATGTCATTAATTGTAACAGACTTTGGTCACGTTGTCTGGTTTGTTGCTTATAAATTGGAACCCATCAAGCTGGGTGATTTTTATAGGTTTCATTTTTTAATGGTCCTATTTTTTGGATTTCTGAGGGTCTGTAAAATCGGTCTATCTCAATCCCTGGCTTCACCTTTTCTTCCCTGCATTTTTTTTTAGTCCTTGGCACATAGGGTTACTAGTGTGTTTAGCAGAATTCTATATTCTTTTCAAATTTTTCCTATTTGACAAGGTTACAACCATAAAAATACCCAAATGTCAACTGATTGACTTCTACACATCTCTCATGTTTTCTGTGGCTCTGCTGCCACAATAGTGAAGGAGGGTAAAATGAGTATAATTAATGATACACACGCCAGAATGTTTTTCATCATCCAAGGAAGATACTTGAAAACATACTATGAAATGAGCAAACTGTACAAACCGCTTTTGTGGATGTGTTTTTTAAGGATAAATGTTTATTTGTGCTCAGAAATGTCTAGAAAGATGTACAGGAGACTATGGGTATTTGGGGAGTGAGAATTAAACTTTCTTAATGTTCCTCAGAATTTTTTTTTTACACCAAGCATGAATTCATCTGCAACAATATGGCTTAGAATGAGAATCTGAGCCCACAAGACACCCACTTCTGTTGGGAGAATAGTTTGATAAACCAGGTTGGGGGCAGGAGGATGGAAGGGAGAAACGTCTTCATCTGCCGTCCCCAGAGGGTGTGTCTGAGTAACAACAAAGGTGACTAAACTGTTTTAGGAGGAAGAGATGAGATTTAGACTCACCTAGAAGTCTTGTTAGAACTGCAGGTTGCTGTGTTTTCTCACCCAGTCTGGGAGGGGAATCCAGAAATTGCATTCCTAACTTATTCTCAGGTGGCGCTGTTGCTGGTCTGGGACCTCACTTTGAAAGCCTCTGACTGATGGGTGTTTTTCATGCCCAGTGAAGCATGCAAGCTGGGGTCAGGAGCTGGAGCTCCTTAACTCAAAAGAGGTGATGGGGAGAATGTTCTAAAAGGAAATGTGTAGGCTAGGAGTCCCAGGCAGGGGCCAAGAAGGGACTGATCTAAGAGGGAGGAGCTCTCCCTGCTGGGTATTTCTGTTCCTGTTACTTTGTGGGATTTTAAAATCCTCCCATCTCTTCTGACAATCTGCATTTTCCTCTGATGCTCAGTAGGGAGTACCCAGCTGTGAGGATGACAAAATCCTGAGGTGTAATTAAAGGGTACAGTCAAAGCAGGACAGGTACCAACTCAGGTACATCTGGGTTATACTTTATTTACATATTTCCACCCTTGGACTCAAAGGCATCCTCTACCAGAGATAGACAGTTCATGTTTTATATTCTATAGAAAATGCACATATTTGTAATTTTGCTGTGTGTACTTACTAGTATTCTCTAGATAACTGGGTCAGGCTAGACAGTTGCATAATTGTGCAAATGGAGGCCAAAGGGCCTTTGCCCCAAGGCCTAAGTTTCTTCGGGTTCCAGGATACTAGAGTCAAATTTCAGTTCTAAAGGTAAGAACTTGCAGTGAGGCAGCCAGGGATAGAAAGAGTAACCCTGGGACAGGGGATTGGGCCTTTTTTCAGATATCAGACAAAGCCTGGGCAGTAGAAAGGCTTTGTGTCCTGCAGGATTAGAGGAACCGTGAGGTCTGTTCCTAGTGCTGCCCTCACACTGAGCAAGGGAGCCCCTGGGCCTGGGCTCCCACACTTTAGAGGGCCCCATTCCCCCCTCCTCAGGCCACATCTCTTGTGGAGGAGCAGAGTCTGTGGAACCAAGAAGCTCCCACCCAGATCCTTACCCTTCCTTCTAAGACAGGGTATGGGAATTTAAGTATGATCTTGAACTGTTTTGTGCTCTAAAGCAGGATGCCTCAGCCTCGGCACTAGTGACATTTCGGGCTGGATAACGCACTGTGGGGGCCCATTCTGTGCATTGCAGGTTTAGTGGCATCTCTGGCCTCTATCCACTAGATGGCTCATAGTGCCTCTCCCCAGACAGTAACTAACAGAGTGTCTCCAGACATTGCCAAACGTTTCCTGAGGGGCAAAGTTGCCCCCAGTTGAGAACCGCTATTCTAGAACTCATTGAATAGCCAGGGCTTGTGGATTTCCTGTCCACATTGTCCTGGGCCTGTTTCCAGGGATGGGGAAAGAAGGTGAAAGACCAGGGATAGGCGCTAGCTCTCACCTTCCTACACAGAACTCAAGGAAGTCCAAGAATTCCAAATTGAAACTGCCTTCCAGGTCTTTATGAATATATATTTGTTAAGGCAGAAGGATAGGATATGTTTTATTTAGCTATTATCTTGATTTATAACATTTACATATGTAGTACACAGGATGAGGGCCTCCATTTGTGCTCTTGCCCCAGTCTTGTATTAGGGCAGATCTGTTCCTTTCGACCTTGAGATTCCCTGATCAAATGACTTTGGGGTGCTCCTACCCCATAATCTGGTCACCGAGTTCATGTGTTTCAAACTGGCATGTGGCCAGAGGACTCAGCCAGGTAATTTTGAAAAGTTCACTGTTGTTTCAGGCCCATCCCATTGAGAGTCATTATCTTCAAGACATCAAGAGAATCCTACAGTAGCTTGGGTTGTCTCGAGCCATGGAATGTGGCTAATCTGACAGAATGGGGCATGGGTGATCCAGAGAGATTCTGATTCTGTAGGAACTGATGAAGGGCAATAGGTGCCTCAGGTCATACTGCAGCCTGTGCAGATGACTAAGCAGCTTACAGTGCAGTGTGTCAGTCTGGCATTCCTGAGATGAAAATCGGTGTTTGGGGGACCTCTGTAGTTAAGAGGTGAGCATGAGGGACCAGAAGCCCAGTCTTGCATTTCCACTCTTGTCATCTTACCTCCTCTTCCATTCTTAGGATTCGTTCTTCTATTTCTTCCTTCATCTCATCTTTCTCTTTTCCTAAATCATTTTTTTTCTTCTGTGACTCAAGGCAATTTCCCCACTACACCTGCAGTAATTCTCCGTAAATATGTGGCTTTCTATTCATCTCCTTCACATCACGTCACGATTACCACCTAGGCCTTTGCTTATGAAAAACCTATGTTTATATGAATTGTAGGGCAATGGCAGAACTAGGGAAAATTTTAAAGTACAAAGAGAAAGAGATGTTTTTTTAATACTAAGAAACAAATGCACTAATAACTAGAAAGCAAATGAGAAACAAAAGTGGTATTAATTAGCTAGGCCTACCTGCAAATATTCAACCTTAGTAAGTCCCTAAAACTGAATGCTATTACCCATAAGCATGATAAGATTATATCACAGACTCATGAAGTATCTGAGGCAGTTTTGAAAGTTGGAAGTGGAGAAATGTAAAAATTAATTTAGGTTGTTAGTAAACAGGAGTGAATAGTCTGAGATTAGAAGTTTGCAAACTATAACTGAGAGTTAGCTGTGTATTTAATCATGGCAACACATGTTGTATGCTGTGTTTAATAGATCCTGCCTGGGCTCTGGCTCACTCTGGCCTACTGTATCTTCTTGGATATTCTCTCTTGACCTCAGCTGTAAATCAGAGGCACCTGGGCTGGGTACAGTGTTTGTCAGCCCATGCTGCACATTAGAACCATCTGGGAACCTTTTTGAAAATACCGTGCTTGGGCTTAATTATATTCAAATTATATATATTTAAACTCTAAGTGCACATTACATTGCTGTAAAACATAAAAAACTAACAGTGAATTTCCCTGGAAATGGGCCGCTTACCTTGGCACTTGTCATCATCACATTGTTGCTGGGCAGCTGCATCTGGGGAGAGCTCTTGACTCTGACTGGGAAAGAATTTGTGATCAGGTTGAACAAGTGCCAACAGGAAAGAAAAAGTAGTAGGAATGTCAGCAGCCATGCAGGCAGTGGAGAGAGCAAGGAGGAAGGGAGAATGGGAAAGTTCACTGAACTCCTGCTTGGCATAAGGCACATCCCTTGCCAACTCCTTAAGCCAGGGTCACCTGGTGTCCAGTATCCACTTGTGTGTGGTGTGGGAATCATATCCCTGCGACCTCAGAATTTAGGGGAGCAATGGAGCACTGGATGGAGTGAGTTTGTGTTCTGAGAACTTCCCAAAGCAAAGAGAGAAGACTTTCTGGCAGCCTGCCTAAGGACTGTGATCCAATGACCGCAGTTCCGTCCTGGGTGACCCGGTCAACTGAACGTGCATACCTCTCCCTACACAGAGGTTCCCACTGCCACTTCCCTACTGGTCTGAATAGGGAGAAAAAAAGGATTGTGCTTAAGATTAGAAGGTGGAATGAAATAGCAAAGAGGCACAGACACTTACCAACCGGAGGTGGACGTTGGTGAGTTCTTTAGTGTGAAAAATAGTTCAGAGATGAAGTGCAGCAAGCAACTTTATTTGGTAAGACTGTACACACTCAGGAGTGTGGGTGACCTCAAAGAGGAGCTGCACTTAAGGGTTTAGGGTTTGGGGTTTTATAGGGCCTCTTGGGTAGGGGTTGGTATAAGGCATGATGTATACAGATGATTAATAATTACTTTGAATTTTCTCTTAAAAATAGTTAAGATCACTATGTTAATCTGGATCTTGGCATTCTTTACCCACATAGGTTCATTTACACTCAGGAGGTCTATCTCTCATCCTGGTTACAATGTTACTGAACTGATAAGGGGCTGGAAGAAAAGGAAGAACAGCATATCAATTAAGTTAAAGAATAAACTGGGCCTTTTTCACAGGCTTAAGTAGATTTTATGATGGCATGACCCTTGTCCCATTTCTCTGCTCTATCTCAACATGAAGAAAAAAATATTTTGTCAAACAGGCATAACCAGGTTTCTTTTACGTGTGGTCAAAAGCATTTTCTAACTTAGAGATGAGAAGCCACCCAAAAAGTTTTAGCAGGGGGCAGCATGGTTATGTTCATATGTGAGAATTACTCCTAAGATATC